TTTTTTAAAAGCATTCGCATATAATTAATATAAATACATCTTCCTGATGTTAATAATTACTATTATTATGAATTTTCAGATATAAATGACAACATTAATATTAACAACCTTTCGGATTAATATTTATATATACACGGCAGGGCTGTGTACAAAATGAGTAAAAATCATATACTTAAATTATTTAAAAGAGATCCATTAGTTGCTATAACAATTTCCCTTATAATATTATCGAGCATACTTTTATCCATTTTGTTGATTGGTAGTTTAAATTTTATTTATTTATCAAGACATGCATTTGATGAATCCGAACCAATCTGTTATAAAGAAGCGACACATGACATTTACCTTGTATTCATATTGTGTTGATAATGCTTGTTCCGATCCTTCTTTAGCACATAACTTTGATAAAAGTAAGTAAATAAAATTAATATAATTTTTATTATTTGATATTGATCCATCTATATTTTATTTTATTTTCTTTAAGTACCTTCTATCTCCGAAATTGGTGGCGATACAATTAATATTAATAAAATAGTAAACGAAATATTACCAATAATGTTAGAAGAAATTAAAAATTTTAAGCCTCAAATGTCAACTGTTAATTTTGTTGATTTTTTCTCTACTCCATATTTAATAGTTCTTATGATAAATATCATTCTTTTTTTCATTTATTGTGATGTACATGTATTGATCATAGTTCCTCTTTTAATACTTTCTTTAATTCTTAATACTCTCGCCCTGATATTTGATATATTGTTATTTGTATGGGTATTTAGAGTCATTGCTTTAATACCAGGCCTCGACGAACAACAAATTGGTCCTGGTATTCATTTAGCAGCCTGGAGCTTAATGTTTTTAGCAATGGCTGCAATATCAATATTATACAATAATTACAAAAAAATTGATAGTGTTAGTAACCGAACCCGGACACTTTACCAACACCCACTTTACCGACAAGACACTTTACCGACAACACGCGACGTGATATTTTAGCATTTTGTTAGTTTGTTTGATTGTGTAGAGATTAAATGTAACCCCGTGTGTTGTCG